GTCAAACTTTTCTTCTGCAGCTTCCTCACATCACTCAGCCTTTATAGAAAAGAAGAGTGTTAGGACCTTGCCCTGGATCAAGCTTTAACTTAAGGGAATGTGGTGGCTGGTTTGTATTTTATCTTCCACACCATTTAAACGTTCTCCATATTAGCAATGAGGCTGTTTCACTTTACCATTTGTGTGTTCACTGGAGTAGCATTTTTCATTTCCTTCAAGAACTTTTCCTTTGTGTTTACAATGTGACTAACAGTTTGGCATAGGAAGCCTAGCTTTCAGCCTATCTTGGCTTTCAAATGCCTTCCTCACTGAATGTAATCATTTCTAGCTTTTGATTTAAAGTGAGAGATGTGTAATGACTCTCCCTTTCACTCTAACACTGGAGACCATTTCATTTCAATATTGTTATGTCTTAGGAAATAGGGAAGTTAAGAAATGGAGACTGGGAAATGGTTGGCTGGTAGAGTGGTCAGAACACACCCAACATTTATTGATTAAGTTTGCCATCTCATATGGCTACTAAACAATTATAATAGTAACATTGTAACAGTAACACTAGGGATTACTGATTACTAATCACCGTAACAGACATAACAATAATAAAAGTTTGAAATGTGGTAAGAATTACCAAAATGTGACATACAGACACGAAGTGAGCACATACTGTTGGAACAAATGGTCCCCAAAGACTTGCTCGATGCAGGATTGCCACGAACCTTCAATTTGTAAAAAATGCAGTATCTGGGAAGCGCAATAAAGCAAAGTGTGGCCGGGCATGGTGGCTCACTCCTGTAATCTCAGCACTTTCAGAGGTCGAATGGAGTGCATCACCTGAGGCCAGGAGTTCAAGACCAGCCTGGCCAATATAGTGAAACCTTATCTCTACTAAAAATACAAAAATTAGCTGGGCGTGGTGGCACATGCCTGTAATCCCAGCTATTCAGGAAGCTGAGGCAGGAGAATTGCTTGAACTCAGGAGGCCGATGTTGCAGTGAGTGAAGATCCATTGCACTCCAGTCTGGGTGACAAAGTGAGATCCGTCTCAATAAAGAAAAAGAAAAGTGCAATAAAATGAGGTGTGCCTGTGTTTACTGAATGCAGTACATTGTGGATATGCTGTGCTGTTGGGGGTCTGGATTTTGTTGTCTTCCTTTTTAGTGTCAAATGTTGTACGTGCACACAATTAACTTACTAGTGGAGAAGTTTTATCTTGTCAAGAATCTTCTTAGGCTTTTCAGGGCTGGCCTAGAGTAACCCTTATTCTGGGGCTAGATTAGTTCTACTCCTAGTGGGTGGCCTTTCTGAGATTTCAACTGAATTCCCCTATTCTGGCTAGTTAGAACTCCAGCATTTCCAAGCAGTGTGCAACTTCTGCTAGCACCCTTTGCATGTGAAGAACAGTATTCAGCTGAAACTGCAAAGGAGCCCTTTACAGATTTCTAGAGATCTTTCTTTGAATAGCTCCCTAATCTCCAGTAGTTTGTCCTTCAATACCCAGTAATCATCTCAGTATCTTTCAATTTCTCTCTCTGTTTTCTCCACCTGCCAAGATCACTGTGATCTATTCGGGCTCTGCACTCCCTTGTCATGTGCACAAAGTACCCCAAGCAGCCATCTGGGGTGAATTTGGAGCCCACTGCATGAATTTGTTTATGCATATCAGTCCAATTTATAGTTAGTTTGCAGTAGGAGGATAAATGTGTTACCTGTTACTCTGTGATGGTCTCATTAGATAATTTTTGTTTTTCTACTTCTTTGACCCAAAACATTCTTCCTCCCTATAATTTTCAGTCATTTCTGTTGGTGCTACCTACTGGAGCTTCACACCATGGTTATTATACTACTTTGAACATACTACTGCACTGGTACAAAGAATTCTGGTTGCATTCACTAACTCAAGGACTTTGACCCTGTAATAACCTCCTTTTTATCTTGCCACATATTTTTTTCCTCTCTACTGGCTCATTCTCATAAGCATATAAGCATGCTGTAAAGTATCCAGTCTTAAAAATAACTCCTGCCCTTGCCCCATGTCCATTTCCAACTTTGTCTCCATTTTACTGCCTCCTGTGATGGCAAAATTCCTAAAAATATAAAAATAGTTGTGTTTTCTGAGTTCCTGCACATTGGCCTTCTTTCTTTTCTGAAGCTCCTCTAATCAGGCCCTTGCTGCAATGACACCAGGTCATAAACAATAGCCATCAAGGTCATAAACAATATCCATCAAGGTCATAAACAATATCCATCTTCCTAAACTAGTGACCAACTCTTGGTTTTCCTCTTTGTCTACTTTCAGCAGGATTCAATACTGTTTAATATCCTCTTTCTCAATTTAGTTCCGATTTTGCTTCCAGAGTGTCACAGTCCACTAGATTTTCTCCTCCTTTACAAGCTGCTCCTTTTCCCTCTTCGTCTCTTCTGCTGATTCTTCCTCCTCTTATTCCAGGGCCTTAAATGTTGGAGTGCTCTAGTGACTGCTAGGACAGGTGCTTCTTCCATATCATTGACCATCATTCCCCTTGTCAAAACCATTCTTCATCATTTCTTCTCTGCTTCTGCTAAAGACACTTTTGTTCACCTTGTTATTAGGCAAAGCATGATTCCACTAAAGGTTCTTTTTTATCTCATTTGCAACATTCACTCCACAAGCATGTTTTGTTTGCTTTACCACCAAAATAGACTGTGAATTCCACTGCTTCTCATAACCTTAACATTACCATCTTCATCCAAGGCATTTTTATCTTGCCTGAAAGTCTGAAATAGCCTGTTAACTACTCTTCTTGCTTTCTAGCCCAGTCCATTCTTCAGACAGCTACTAGTGTGATAACTAAAAAGATAAATCAGGCCAGGGTGCTGCGGTGGTTACAGTCAACAGTGCCAACTCTTTAATCTAGAAAGAAAAATCCACACTTCTAAAATGGCTGCATGTTCTAATGACTCAGGGGGCTGGGACTGAGACTTGGCTACATATTAGAATAAACTTGTGGATTTTACAAATTATTGATGCCTGGGTTCCACCTCCAAAGATGGTTCTTTAATTGGTGGGAGCTTCATCCTGGACATCAGGGCCTTTTTAGAGCTTCTTATGCAATCTGAATGTACAAGAAGGTTTCAGAATCACTAACTAGTGATTTTTGGGAAAAAAAGAACAATTCCCCAGAGATCTGGAAGATGGATTTACCCCTAAAGATTATGATTTAATTGGTGTAGTTTGGGACCAAAAAATGCACATCAGTGTTTTCTTAAATCTCCCAGGAAATTCTACAGAACTGTCCGGATTGAGAACCACAGTCCCACACCACCTTGTCCCTGTCTGTTTCTCCAGTCACACTGACCTGTTTGTGAAGCACATTTTCTTCCTCTAGGCTGCGTTATCTCACTGGTGATTTAATATTAATTTAACTAAAGCTTATTTAACATATTTGAAGAACAATCACATGGAGACATTAATCATGTCATGATCAGCTACATTATCCCAAATAGCTAGGCTCAGTTTCAGCTCATCTGACCTTTGTCTTGGTTAAAAACTTCTGGTTGCCTTTTCTGCAAGGGCAAGTGGTACAAAAAGCATCCCTGCACATTTTTATCTGACATTTCAGATTCCTGACCTGGATCCTTCAGAGCAGATTACATAGAAAGTAGGCTGATGTACTATTTTGCCCTTCACAAACCCAAGAGTCAACTCTGCTTATAAGAAAACACTCGGGAAACAGATACTACGTTGGCTCTCTTTTTTTATTTATCTTTCAAATTTTGGGAAAAAAATCAAGTATCCTAATTCTTCCACTCCAAAGAGCAAGGTGGAAATGAGAAAAATGTCATGAGGATGTTAAGTTTGTGTCTAATTGAATATATATTTTCTAAATTATTCACCTGGGGCATTTTTTTTCCCGGAAATACAAAGTTAGCTTCTTCCTATGACTTCTAAGTCTGTGTCACTTCCTTTTGCTGGCAAGTAGATAAAAAGTGCATTTCTCCCCAGTCGGAAAGGCAGAAGAGTTATCAAGGGGACAAGGATTAAGGACTGAGGAAGGACATGAGAATCTCCTGTTCAAGAAAGAGCTATCTCCACTCTCTGGGAAATTACAGAAATCCTCCCGCTCCTAACAACTACTCTGAGACCACAATTTGGGGAATTTTAAAATGCAAATAATCATTGTTAATATAAATCTTTAACTTCATACAGTTACTTTTGCAATGTGGATGAATATTGTAATGGTAGATTAATGTATAGTACTCTTGGAATCTTAAAAATCACAGAATGTCTGTGTTTGATACACATTAGAGAACACTAGCAGCTTATTTCATAGATGAAGAGTGTGAGCCTTAATGGGAATTTGGTGACTTGAATAGAAGTTCAAAATAAGACTGATGTTTACAGTTTAGATGTAATGAGATTACTGCCAATGTTTTCTGAATGTTAGCCTATGCTATTTTAATTCTTTTGAATAAATACGACCATACTCTGCTTAATTTTAAAATGTTGCAATGGCTTTCCAAAATAATGATATATTTAATGCTAAATAGAATAGATGCGCAAAGAAAACCACATTTCTAAAACTCAAACAAACATTATGAAAAGCTATTTTATGGCTCTTTGGAAAAACTTTGATATATAGCTTTGACACATATTTTTAAAAAGCCATTTATTGAAATAAGAAATATTATTAAAATATGATATGAATACAATAAAGCAAAAGCTCATCAACGTTAGTCCTCAAAACTCATTGGGTTAGCATACGGAAGCCTTAGTTCATGAGTTAAACCTTATGGCTCCCACCTTCTTAGCTATTAATTATTTAAAACATATTTTAAGTAAATAAAGCCTTATCTTGGAGTTTAGGGGAATTCATGGCTGTGTTCCAGAGTTGTATTTTTTTAGTGAAACAAGACTGAATTTCAAAGTTCTAGTTATTTTCACAATATTTCAAGCCACATCATCCTAAATCATTGTTAAATCAACTCTATGGATGCCACATGGCTCACGTTCCTCTGCTTACCTCTCACAATCAACTGGCTTTGGTGCTCCACGGCGGCGGCCTCATTCCGGGCGATGCAGGTGTAATTCCCATTGTGCATCAGGGAGAGATTGGAAATCCTCAAGGAGCTTGTGAAGTCAATATTGTCAATGGTCACCCCAAGGCTCCCAGGGATTGGCCGGCCATCCTTCTGCCAAGTGATGGTGATGGGTAAGTCCCCTGAGACCACGACACACGGGATGAAGACCCGCTGCCCAATGGAGAATCTTGGAAACTCAAAGGGTTGTATGAAAGGTGGAACTGCAAGAAAAAAGAAAGTAACAGAGGGAAGATAATAACCAACCGTGCTTATTCTACATTTCTTTTCCTTTAACCCCGTACACGGCACTGAAGGAGTAGTACAGACAATCATAGATGCAGCATAGAAATACAGGAAGTGTAGCCAATTTGAAATTATGCTTCTATTATTTGAATTTTCTCATCATTTTAAATAAAAAGCGTCGTTCAATTTGTACTTCAGCAAGTTACTTAACCTAATTTTGTTCAACAGACTTTTTTTTAATTTAATAATTATTTTTGAATGAAAATATTTCAGACTATATTCTGTAGTGTAAATAGTGTGAAAGGGGGATTTAGGTTTGCTTTTCCTTCAAAGCCTTTTAAAATGATGTATACAAGAGGAGGTTTCTTTCCTGCTTTGTGACTATGACGCTGCAATTACTGTTGCCCCTTCTAATTGTTTCCTGCCTTGTAAATAGGAATATTCTAAACCCACTGAAGAAGCAGAGATTCCAATTTTGGCTGGATGTGGTGGCTCACACCTGTAATCCCAGCACTTTGGGAGGCCGAGGCAGGAGGAACACTTGAGGCTAGGAGTTCAAGACCAGCCTGGGTAACATAACGGGACCCCCATCTCTACAAAATTTTTTTTAAAAATTAGCCATCTGTGGTGGTGTGCACCTCTAGTCCCAGCTACTGAGGAGGCCAAGGCATGAGGATCCCTCGAGCCCAGGAGTTCGAGGCTGCAGTAAGCTATGAGGGCACCACTGCACTCCAGCCTGGGTGACTCCAGCCTGTCTCTAAAAAACTAAAAACTAAAAAATAAAAGTAAAATAAATATTCCAATTTTATCGTTAAAGTTCTTTTTTATGTCCAACTAATAACAACCATTAACTATAAATTCTTATTTCATATTAGAAAAACTACATCTTTACCTTGCGTCTCTTAGTTTTTCACACTCTATGTGTGAAACTTTTAATTATGAACTGGTCCATGGCAGGTTATTTGAGTTGATATGTTGCTAAGGAGGTCAGGTTATAGCCTTCAGCCTGGCCTACCATGGACACTGCAGGCAAACTCAGCCTGGAAAGCTCTTTCCTGATTCTGTTTTGCTGAGTGACGCCTATTTGTCCATCTTGCCTCAGGAACTCTCTTCCTCGGTGCCCTCCTAGATGATGTCATAGGGTATTAGCATTCTGAAATACTTAAAATGGAGTCAGATGAACCACATTTGAACCCTATCTGTTACTTGTTAGTTACAGATCATGAGCAAAGTAACATGCCTAAAAGATTAGTTATTTATTGCCTTACTTTGCAAATGGGAAGAGTGATACTCAAAGACGTTACGTTGCCCTTTCGATCTCAGAACTAGTTAACTGTTATCGGAGGGCTTAAATCATGTCAATATGGCTAATATCAGAGGCTGTAATGTAAGCCTTTTTTTGTGTTTTTGCATACATTCTTTGAAAGAAAAAGGTTTATTTGTATGCAGGGGCATGGAAATGACTAAGAGTACAAACTAAGATGATTAATCATGTGATAATCTAATATAAACCAATTATTATACTAGGAGTTTTTCCTAATGAAGTTGTTAAAGGTGTCTGCAGTTTATTCAACAATTGTAAGTCCATTTCTACTACCAGCTTAAGGAAGAGGTAAGGGATCCGGCTGATAAATTTTAATAGAAAACCATTCACTTATTTGTTCATTCAACCAAGTCATGTTTATTGAGCACCTGGGATGTGTGTGGCAGCAGTGAATGTGCTGGGCACACAGCAATGAGCATAATCCATTAGCCTCTGCCAGTGGAGCTTCCATACATAGCCATAGGCAGCAGACAGCAAGGAAATGCAGCCATGGCGCTTCTCTTATTTTGTATTATCACTATGACTGCTGTCTGCTTTCAAAGCAGTTGGGAGTTAGAACTCAAAATTTCAAATACAGCCAGAGGTAGAAGAACTAGGTGGCTCAAGTTAGGTCTTACTAGGGGAATTAATTTTTTTAAATGGCCAAAGGTACCAACAAGCATATTCAACGTCAATCCTGCTGTGGATTCTCAATGTAAAGTTAGAGCTTTGGGATTGAAAAGGGCTGATCTGATGCTAAGAGAAAAGGTCTCAGGATGAGGTTCTATCCAGTGCTGGAGGAGAGAATCGGGTCAGATTAAGGTGTGAATGTTCTCAGTTGGAATGTGTTGGAGAAAATGTCATGTTGTACCAAAGGTGCTTGTATTTCTTTAAATCTTGCCCCCAAGTGGCATAAATGTTCACTACACATGTAAATATTATTAATACTAAATTGCCATACTTCATTAAAGAAAATAATGACATTTCCTCCCCTTTGATTTCTTGGACACAAAAACCTTGTTGTCAGCATATTCAGACAAACCTTGGCTTGGTGCTTGCCATCTGAATAATAGACAATTTTTCTAAGATAAAACTTTGGAGCCAGACTAGTTTGGTTTAAGATCAGCTACGCTGCTTACTATAGTTACTGAACCCTCTCAGGGTCTCAGCTTCCTTATTTATGAAATAGAGTGCTGCCTTGAGTTCTGAATGAATTAACACAGTAATTCACAAACTTGGTCATACATCTGAATCAGTTTCTTAGCATTTGTTCTATTTCACAAGGCTTTAAGATGAGGAAAAAACAGGCAAGTTGAAAGGTTATTGGTCTAATTTTCTCTATCAGTCACAACAGGGAGAAGGAATACATAAGGATTTACTTTCTCCAAATCAAGAAAGAAAGGTATGACGTAGCATATTTTTAAATCTAGTTATTTAATAAGAAAGCCAGGCATGGTGGCTCATGCCTGCAATCCCAGCACTTTGGGAGGCTCAGGCGGGCAAATTACCTGAGGTCAGGAGTTCATGAGCAGCCTGGCCAACACGGCAAAACCTTGTCTGTACTAAAAATACAAAAAAATTAGCTGGGCATGGTGTTGCGCACCTGTAGTCCCAGCTGCTAGGGAGGCGAGGCAGGAGAATTGCTTGAACCCAGGAGGCAGAGGTTGCAGTGAGCCAAGGTCATGTCACTGCACTCCAGCATGGGAGATAGAGGGAAACCCTGTCTCAAAAAATAAATAAATAAAAAAGGAAAACACGATACAGTGTAGGTTGTAAATAGTTGTAAAGTAGTAGAATGTCCCTTTAGAACATAAGAGAGTTATAGAATACAGGAAATGTATGTGCATACAATTTTTCAAGAACAGAAGTAACAGGTAGCTATAGAAGAATCAGCATTAAAACCAAAACGAAAACCAAAACCCTATGCTTTCTATATTCAAAATATTTGTAATTCATCAATTTATGGTATTTAAGGAATATTTTTATCATTACTTTAGTACAAAGCAACGGGGCTGAAAATCAGGAAGTACACTTCCACAGCACTGCAAAACCAGTGTCAGAAAGCTAATGCACTAAATCTCATACACATTATTCCAAGGATAATCCTTTGCTTTGAACATCTTATTTTAAATCATTACAACACTCTCAGTTATCTCATATCTTGGTCTAAATCAGATTCTAGGAGTTCAGGCATATTGAAGAGGGCTTAGTAAGAAGCCACAATTGGCAAGCAAAAGGAGGAGAGTGAGAAACTAAAAGTAAATTATAAAGAACAGACACAAAAATGCAACACACACTGTAGCTGGATGACATTTTGTTTGGAAGCGCATTGCCCTTAGTAGTCAGCTTTTTTGTAACTAATATAAAATTGTAATAATTAATATTCCAAATTATAAGTCATGGTTAACATATTAAATAAAAAAGATACATTTAAAATATTTTAAAACATATCTACAAAAAAAAAAAGTCCTTTCCAAAAGGGTTAAAATAAAAATCAAAGAAAAGTTTAGAGGGAAAAGTCCTTTTCCCAGAAGAATGTCAAAATTAGGTTTGCTATGTGTTGTTCTGCTTGCCACATTATGTAAGGACACATTAAGTCAATATGCACATTACATCATTGTTAATGTAAATTAAATCACAAGGCCTATTTGTCAGTCATGTTAATTCTTTCTTCACTGCTTAAGTTGCCTTGCTTGCATCAGCTGTGAGTTGCAAGTCTGCTGCATACAAATGCAAACAATTTTTAAAGCATCTGAAGTCTTATATTTTACATTCTTAAGACATAAAATCGATGGCACAAAGTAACCCCAGTGATTAGAAAACTTTTGTCATGATTTTGGGAAAGCTGAACCTCCTATTTGAGACACACTGATTACTGGATTAACGATATTGCCTAAATAAGGTAAATTATCTGAATCTTCTTGATGGTGAAAGCTTATATATCATAGGAGCAGAAATCCTGAATATGACATGCACCGCTTTTGACATACCCTTTTTACAAGAAGTATGTAAATATCTGATAAAGGTCATTTATTACCAGGCTTGTGTATTTCACTCTAACATAATGGCGGGGGTCCCTTTTCTAGGCAGCTCAGAGCCATTGAATACTGTCAACTGTCAATTTTGACTCTTATTCTATCTAAACCCTTAACAAGAATATCAGATCAGACTAATATATTTCTGTGTCTTGTCGCTTAAAATTAATTGTATATTCTTTTTCATGGGGGAAAATATTTTGATTTCTCCTAGAGGAGAGGAGTATACTACATTGATAAAATCATGGGTGGGGGCGCTCATCAATTTTGGGTGATAAGCAGTGTTATCTTCATCCAGTTTCTTTAACTCTGTGATTCTATCTCTTCATGTGTAACAAGGTGATCATGAAACGCAGTTCATTACCAGCTTGCATTGAACTGGACAGTAAGTAGCTTTTCTGCACGGCCATAGGGCTATTCACTGTACATTTCAGTGCAAGCTGTGACTCCAAAATGACGAGGCTGTGAGCAGGCGGGATTTTCTAGTCCAGGATATGCCTTCATGATCTCCTCACCCATAAGACTGGTTATTTGGTCAATTCTGATACTTTATATCATTCAGCTTTCCTAAATTTTACATTACCCACCCAGTCTGATATAGTTCTCCACGATGTACACACAACACAAGTAAACGGTTCCT